AATCAATTGTATTGAACTATCTGTATAAAATTGAAGGGAAATCAGCTGTATTGAACTATCTGTATAAAACTGAAGGGAATCAGTTGTATTGAACTATCTGTATAAAACTCAAGGGGAATCAACTGTAATGAACTATCTGTATAAAACTCAAGGGGAATCAGCTGTAATGAGAGCTCTATATAAAACTGAAGGGGGAACAGCTGTAGTGAATTATTTGTATCAGCTGTAGTGAACTCTGTATAAAACTCAAGGGGAATTTGCTGTAGTGAACTCTCTGTATAAAACTCAATGGGAATTTGCTGTAGTGAACTCTCTGTATAAATCTCAAGGGGAATTTGCTGTAGTGAACTCTATATATAAAAGACAAGGGGGAATCAGCTGTAGTGAACTGTACGTAAAGGGGAATTAGCTCGTAACTTGTATTTTAAATCCGTAAGAATCCATAAGTATACCACGAAGTTATAAGAAGTAAAAGTATATAGACTACATGTAAACATTTCAAAATTTACTAAATAAAATCCGTCAATAAACATATTTAATGTTTAACGTGAAAACGAAACAGAATACACCTTTTTTAAACGAGAAAGTAACGTTATCTACGTTACATTTTTTCTAAGTTAATTCTCAACTGTAATAGTGTAGTGGTACTTTAAAAACTGACCACTGAATTACTCGAAATGCGATGCCTTTGGTCATATTCTGATAGAACGTCTTCAGGTGCTTGTCTGCGAAAAATTCATTATGACAGTTATTAGACTAAAATTCTTGTGTTTTCCTCGTCTTCTCAATGATGATTGTCTTTAAAAGGAACAACTTATTTAAATTGTATGTATTATATCTAGTTTATTGGCAGTTAAGAAACGAAAGAAGACAAAAATAATAGATTAAGCAAGTTATCTAAGAGATTTTTTTAAAATTATTTTCAGACTTATTGCAGCACGCATGCGCTTACAAAATCGGCGGTTCTGTCTTGTTTCTCACGAACACACATTTAAGTAAAACGCAAAGTTGCAATAAAAACTTATGTGTTCCAATTATTGAGGTGTTGGTCATAAAGAGAAAACATAAAATACGTGTTTGCTGTTCCGCTCCTATGTTTATAACAGACAAATTGCCGTCAGGAAATAAGTTATGAACTCGACACAGACACACTGGTTGTTAGGAAAGTCGAATTTGTTGGGTAATTACAAGATCTAATACAGTGTACCATATTTACTTGACCAAGATGACGTATTTGTTATGAACGTGACAAGAAACATTCATTAGTGTCCTTTCTTGTCACGTTCATAACAAGTACGTCATTCATTAGTGTCCTTTCTTGTCACGTTCATAACAAGTACGTCATTCATTAGTGTCCTTTCTTGTCACGTTCATAACAAGTACGTCATTCATTAGTGTCCTTTCTTGTCACGTTCATAACAAATACGTCATTCATTAGTGTCCTTTCTTGTCACGGCCATAACATATACGTCATTCATTAGTGTCCTTTCTTGTCACGTTCATAACAAATACGTCATTCATTAGTGTCCTTTCTTGTCACGTTCATAATAAATACGTTATTCATTAGTGTCCTTTCTTGTCACGGTCATAACATATACGTCATTCATTAGTGTCCTTTCTTGTCACGTTCATAACAAATACGTCATTCATTAGTGTCCTTTCTTGTCACGTCCATAACAAATGTCCACCAACTCAAAGTTCAGGTGAGGACAAAAGGTCACTAACTCAAATTTACCATTTATCCATTCTTTTATTGTCACAAAAAACAACAAGGAATGTAGAGTTAGGTTTACTTGAAGGACAACTAACGAATATGATGTTTTAATTTTTAATAAATGATCAGGATATACCCAAAGATATCATTATGTAATAGACTATAAGTTGGTAATATCTGAGGTGGGGTTCTGTAACGCTGTTGTTTTACAGATTCTTGCGTCCACGTCAAGTGCTCCAGTGGAAAAGTTTGTAGTCTGAGAAAAGGAAAACCAATTTGTGTCTGTAGACCAAAATGTCCGAAGAGGAAGCGAAAACTGGGAGCTGTTTGTGGTAATGATGGCAACACGTATAAACATGTTTGTAAATTACTGAAAGTCGGCTGTAGAAAGAACACAAAATTAGAAGTGGCCTATTTCGGTTCGTGCCAAGGTTAGTATACTAGTACATAATATCTAAATAAACCAGTATTTTTACTTAAAACTATCGACTTTCTGACAAATCTCAAACTTAACGGTTGTTTTTGTTCCTTATCTCTTGTTTTATTAACATGAAAGGTGCTGGATAACTAGCTACTACTTGGTTGTTCCCTATCTGTTTTATTAACATGATGGTGCTAGATATGTAGCTACTACTTGGTTGTTCCCTATCTGTTTTATTAATATAAAGGTGCTAGATAACTAGCTACTACTTGGTTGTTCCCTATCTGTTTTATTAACATGATGGTGCTAGATAACTAGCTACTACTTGGTTGTTCCCTATCTGTTTTATTAACATGTAGGTGCTAGATATCTAGCTACTACTTGGTTGTTCCCTATCTGTTTTATTAACAGGATGGTGCTAGATATCTAGCTACTACTTGGTTGTTGCCTATCTGTTTTATTAACATGAAAGGTGCTAGATATCTAGCTACTACTTGGTTGTTCTCTATCTGTTTTATTAACATGATGGTGCTAGATAACTAGCTACTACTTGGAATCAATAAAAATATTAATAAACTAAATATCCAGTAGTATAAGTTTTAGTGTAATTGGAGATATTGTATTTACTAGCGTTTTAATATAATTGAATAAGAATATTTAATTAAATATGTTGGAACACACACATTTTCCACTAACTTATATTGTAATCTTCTCTAATTTCACGATGACGACAAACTCTATAATTTGAATAACTTCTTTCATTTGGATATAATAGTTATGGTTCTTCTTGCTTTACTGACATTTGTTAATTGTTGAAACAGACAACAGCTGTCAGAACATCATATGTTCAGGGAAGAAGACCTGCCTGCTCGACCAAAACTTTGAACCCCACTGTGTTCACTGCAGAAATAACTGTTCAGCGAAACGGAGATATGTCTGTGGCTCCAACAATGTTACTTATTCCAGCAGGTGTACACTGAGGAAAGCTGCATGTTTCAAAGGAATGGCGATAAAAGAATCTTATAGAGGGCACTGCAAAGGTATATCTCAGCAAAATAATGAAAATTATAAAAAAATGTACACACAGAACATTTGGTTACTCGAAGTATTGAAGTGTGTATCACTGTAAATACAATACAGTTTGTTAATCACAGCAGTAAAGTGTGTATCACCTGTAGGTACAATATAGTTTTATAAACAGTGTAGTGAAGAATGTATCACCTGTAGGTACAATACAGTTTCATAAACAGTGTAGTGAACAATGTATCACCTGTAGGTACAATACAGTTTCATAAACAGTGTAGTGAAGAATGTATCACCTGTAGGTACAATACAGTTTATAAACAGTGTAGTGAAGAATGTATCACCTGTAGGTACAATACAGTTTTATAAACAGTGTAGTGAAGAATGTATCACCTGTAGGTACAATACAGTTTTATAAACAGTGTAGTGAAGAATGTATCACCTGTAGGTACAATACAGTTTTATAAACAGTGTAGTGAAGAATGTATCACCTGTAGGTACAATACAGTTTTATAAACAGTGTAGTGAAGAATGTATCACCTGTAGGTACAATATAGTTTTATAAACAGTGTAGTGAAGAATGTATCACCTGTAGGTACAATACAGTTTATGAAAGTGCGCTATGTTTGGAAGTGATTACGAAAATGACATCAATAACATTTTGATAAAAATGAGTGAACAAAAAGTAAACTTAGATGGCAAATAGACAAAGACAATCCTTTTATTTTGTGACTAGAGATGTTTGTAAAGTACATAAACGTGTTTTGTTTTTACCTAAAATCTTCAACTCCTACTCTCCTCGATATATTCTACTCTGAGTGAGTAATTTGGTCTTCAACCTAAACTATACTCTGGGATTTTTCCTATGTGGATAATACGCTTTCGATTTGGATCAAACAGATTCGCTGCTGATATTCCATTGCAGTTAATGTGGGGATAATTAAATCTGAATGACTTTATAAAGTTTAGTTTATGAAGTTTACACTTTTAGGTTTAAGATTTATTTCGACACTTTTGTGAGAGAAGTCTGTTTGTAAGTAAGCACAAAGCTACACAATGGGCTATCTGTTCTCTGCCCACCACGGGTATCGAAACCCGGTTTCTAGCGTTGTAAGTCCGCAGACATGACGCTGAGCCACTGGGGGGGGGGGCTGTGAGAGAAGTAATGATAGCAGTTTGGGGACAAGTTATTCGAGCAGTAAATGATCTGTTGTAAGCTGGTTAAAAACTGGTTCTAAGCCTTGTTATAAAATGTCTTAACTCCAGCTGTTTTGTTTCCGCATTCCTCGTATTGTGTATATTGCGATTCTAAGGCTGGAATATTTTATTCAGATGCGTATATTTTCAGGAAATATTTTTCAACGAGATATACACAAGGAAATGAGATTAAGAATGTTAAAGTAACTTGTAAAGACGTAAGATCTATTTGCATGTTCTTCAAAGTTGGAAAGGACGTTCTTGTGCTTCACGTACTTGGAAAGTTTTTGATTTTGAAACAATCTATTTGCATGTTCTTCAAAGTTGGAAAGGACGTTCTTGTGCTTCACGTACTTGGAAAGTTTTTGATTTTGAAACAATCTATTTGCATGTTCTTCAAAGCTGGATGGGTCTGTCTACCGCTGGTCTGAAGTCCTTAAACTAAACTCTACAATAAGTGGTTAGTGGGACAGACCCATCCAACTTTATTGTAGAGTTTAGTTTAAGGACTTCAGACTAGCGGTAGATGGTAACAGCGCCGGACTTTCGTCTGAACAGCAGGTTTCCTCAAAGTGAACACCAGGCGCTACTTCAAACTGAGAGAACCCCAACGTAATTAACCTATACAGAGATCCCCATAGTCACCCCCCCCCCCACTAATCAGCCTATTAATTTATACAGAAAACGCCGAATTTCTCCCTGTCTATACAGAGATGATTGTCTCCCTCTACTTGACCATGGCTAACGTCGCTTACGATAATAAGGGGGTTGAGAACCTGTCTTCTGACCGTACAGACATTCCATTACCGTTGACTCACGTTATAATCAACACCTTTGTATGTACCATTACTTGCCAGGTAAACGGAACTGGGTCAAGAAAATAAATAGCTATATATGTTATGGTGGTTGTTACATACCACAACAGAACAAGTTTTATATGTTATGATGGTTGTTACATACCACAACAGAACAAGTTTTATATGTTATGGTGGTTGTTACATACCACAACAGAACAAGTTTTATATGTTATGGTGGTTGTTACACACCACAACAGTACAAGTTTTATATGTTATGGTGGTTGTTACACACCACAACAGTACAAGTTTTATAT